CGGGGGGGGGGGGGAGAGCGAGGGGAAGGGGGAAGAGAGGGAGAGGAAGGAGAGGACTTTTGGGATGTATGTAATTTTCTTTTGTTCAAATTTGTTACTTTTGTGATTGTTCAAATATGTTAATTGTGTGGATCGATTATTGTTTATATATGTGATTTTTGTGAGTATTATTTGATTCATGGCTGAATTTTATGATTATTGTTGATATTCAATATATATATGATTTTTGTGTGTATTGTTTGACTCATGTATATTGTTGTGAATGAAGCGAATAATTTCATGCATATTGTTGTAAAATAGTTGTGCATGTTTGATTCATGTATATTTCGTCATTTATAAAAACGCAGTGTATATAAAAAACATGCACGGCTAGCTATGCATGTTTTTTAAAACATGCAGCTTCACGGGACTTGAAGTCCCATGGAGTTGCAGGGTAATTTTTCAGAGAGTGGAGCTCTCTAGAAAACTGACTGAGACTTCACAGGACCTCAAGTCCCTTGAAGTTCAGTTTCAAATAAAAGTTCACAAGACTTTAAAACCCGTGAACTTATATGGATGCTTGAGAGGAGGATTAGCGGAGGACTAAATAAAAGTCCACGGGACTTCAAGTCCCGTGAACTTATATGGATGCTTGAGAGGAGGATTAGCAGAGGATTAAACTTCACGGGACTTTAAATCCCGTAAAGTTTCAGATGATTTTTTTTGTCAAAATCGACCCAGTTTCAGCCAGGCAGTTGGCTAAAACTGGGTCAAATTTGAAAAATAAGTACAAAACGGGTCGATTTTTGCAATTAAGTTTTCAAATAGGGCGGTTTTTGAAAATTTTTCCATAATCTTTATTGTTGGGTTAATTGCACAAAGACCCTTTTTTAAGGTAAATTACAGTAAACCCGTCTTTGTGAAGGTAAATTACAGTAAACTCCATAAACTTCCTGTGTTTTGCAGAAAACCCTCATGGACTTTGAAAATCACACTAAACCCCCAACAACTTTTTGAAGTTACAAAAACCCTCATGAACTTACCCGTTTGTCAGGAGGTTAAGAGAAGGGTTAATGGAGTTTAACCTTTCTTAACCATCCAGACTGATTAGTTTGGTCAAATGTCTAACAAACATTTTACAAGGATTAAAGTTAGTTATCTCTCATTTAGAGGGCTTAACAAATCTGCCTATAGATACGAGGGTTAAAAATTACTATCTGAAAATAAGAAATAAAACATTAAAAATAAATATAATTTAGGATAGTTATGATAATTAAGTTCTACATTCCTTATTTATTTATCAAACACAAAAAACTTTAACTCTTCCTCTTGATGATCAAATCCGAATAGAATTAAATTATTTTTAACCTTTTGTGAAGAGTTATTTAAGTTGGTCTTCTCCAACCATTCTCCCTTAACTTCTTGTCAAATGGAACCTGAAGTTTTGTAGATAACCCGCGTAAATTAGAACCGAAAAAACAACATAAAAAGTCATCTTGAAAGTTCATGGGGTTTAGTGTGATTTACCTATAAGTTCATGGGGATTTTCTGCAAATTTTATTGGGGGGTATAGTGTGATTTTCAAAGTTCATGAGGGTTTAGTGTAATTTAGCCTTGTTATATTTTCATTTTAGAATATAGACTGGCTGGGTGGGTGGGTTTGTTTTTTTAAGGCACAAGAATAAGAACATAAAAGAGTACTTAAAAAGAAAAAATTTAACTCCCAGAATATATCTGCCAAAATGAAATTATAGGATAAGTTCAAAACCATCATACTACGTAGGTTCTTTACGCAATTAACCCTTAATTGAGCATTTTCAGAGGGATAAGACCCTGATACGCAATTAACCCTTAATTGAGCATTTTCAGAGGGATAAGACCCTGAAAATTTATAACCCAATATCATCATACTTGTTAGATTGGATTAACGTTGCCATATTGTATTATGCCGACATTTGGAATCCTCAAACTTTAGCAAATAACTTTGATCACTGCTCTTTCATGACAGAGATAAATTGAAAAGAAGGATAAAAGCATAGAGTTAAGATCTCTCAACGAATGAAAACTATGGCTATCTTTGAAGTTAAGTTACATAGCATGTTCCTGCTTTCTTTATTGTAACACACAACAAAACGTAAAGATACACGCACGAACACTTTCTGCATCTAGATATTGAATCTCAATCTGTCTATTTTAACTTAACTTGCAAAGAACATCATGACACTGAACTTTCATCAAACGCCAACAAAATTCATCCAAGCTCTATAAAATCCAACTCAAAAACATAAAATTTAAACCGGAATAGCTGGAAGAAGAGGCTCAACCGTACCACTTCCACCATTTAAGACAGTAACATTGCCATCAGAGTCGACGTCCACGATAGCAGAATCTCCTTCCTTCACCTCGCCTGAGAGCATCCTCTCAGCCAACGAATCCTCAAGAAGTCTCATGATCGCTCTCCTCAGGGGCCTCGCTCCATAACTCGGGTTGAATCCTTCCTCCACCACTCTCTCCTTAAACCTCTGCGTCACCTGGAGATCGATATCCTTGTCCTTCATTCTCACAAAAACCTCCTTCAACATTATATCCGCAATCTCCGTCACCTCCAGCTTCGTCAATTGCCTGAAAACAATCATTTCATCCAATCTATTCAAGAACTCCGGTCTAAAGTACTGCTTCAACTCCTCAGTCACCAAGCTCTTGATCCTATTATAACTACCGTCCTTCTCATCATAATCCAAATCGAACCCAATTCTCCGTCCTCCTTTCTCAATCACGCTACTCCCGACGTTGGACGTCATGATCAAGAGCGTGTTTTTGAAATCGACGGTTCGGCCTTTACTATCTGTTAATCTCCCGTCTTCTAAAATTTGAAGCATCATGTTAAAAACATCGGGATGCGCTTTTTCGATTTCATCAAAGAGGACGAGGGTGTAGGGCCTACGACGAACCGCTTCAGTTAACTGCCCGCCTTCTGTGTATCCAACATATCCAGGTGGTGAACCAATGAGTTTTGAGACGGTGTGTCTCTCCATGAACTCGCTCATATCGAGCCTTATCATCGCATCCTCAGACCCGAAATAATAGGTTGCGAGTGCTTTTGCAAGTTCGGATTTTCCAACACCAGTGGGGCCTGAGAATATGAAGCTGGCGATAGGTCGGTTAGGGTTCTTGAGGCCGACTCGGGCTCGCCGGATTGCACGACTGATGGCTTTGACTGCCTCGTCTTGGCCGATGACTCGTTTGTGTAGGGTTTCTTCCATTTTGAGCAGACGGTCGGATTCGTCGCTGGAGACCTTTTCGACAGGGATGCCAGTCCATGAAGCGACAATTTGTTGGATGTCGACTTCAGTGACGAGTGCTCCGTCGTCACCTGACTCAATCTCTGCTTTGGTCTTTTCTTTGCCTTTCTCGATGAGCGCCGATATTTGAGCTTTTAACTCCATTTCCCTGTCTCGGAGCTCCCCAGCCTGCCAGTAAACAAGAAGACTATATGAAGAACAAAGCAAGAACATGAAAAGAATCGAGTTTAGGGTAACAAAAAAAAATCTAACAGAAGAAAATGAGCGAGAAAGACAAGGCAGTAACTAAATTATAATTCTCTTGCGGATCAAATTGAATCTTCTCTTCTTTTTAAAATAAAAAGACTGACTAAGAAGAAGTCCGTCTCCATTGTTTTGGCTGATTTTCATTCTTTTCTCGTCATTTTTAATACAAGCAGGATAGCCTTCATGTACACTGTGCTACAACTCGATATGCTAATTCTTTCTTTTTTAGCAGCAATAATACAACAGACTATCTACTAAACAGTTTCCCAGCAAGATCGAAGCAGGATAATAATAATAATACTAAAGATGTATCTTCAATCTTCAACTTTCAAGAGTAAAATTCTTCGTAATAAAGTATTGATGCTTGAGAAGAATACTATATTTATTCATCTTGATGCAGATTATAGTTTCACAAAGTAGACATAACATATTATCAGAAATTCAATGACTCACCTTTTCGAAATCTTGGCTACGAACTGCTTCAGTTTTTTCTTTTGTAATCTGCCTGAGCTCCTTATCAAGTTCTTTGGCATCTTCAGGAAGCTGACCATGTCACATTATCCCAATTAGAATAGTCTCGACAGAGAAATTCCAGTATATAGCAAGTAGCAACTTCTGTACCTGTGCGTAGCGGAGCCTGACACGGGAACCAGCTTCATCAATCAAGTCAATAGCTTTATCAGGCAGGAAGCGGTCACTGCAAAACAATTATGATGGTGAAACATAGGAAATGAATCCAACCCAAATAAACGTTCTTTTGAATTATCGCATAGTAGAAAAAGTTTATTATATTTATGACATGTTTCAAACATCATTTCAATTTCATTTTTGGCGTCAAATTTACGAGATTCTAAAAAGCCTTGGAATTTGGTTCTTTTCTGGCAATCAATGTTATGTCTGGAGGTAATGAGAAATTTCGTGAAACAAGTGTGCCAAAAGCCAGAAAATTATAATGGAACAACGAACAGACGTGGTTATATGAACACGATAAGGTATTTGGGGCAATAAAACATTACAAACAAAATCAAGCCCCACATAATGATGCCTCACTGATGCACAGTATGTGAAAGAATTTAACAGTTTCTCAGGTGCATCAACTTTCATATGCTCTGCTGACTTCTCTGCATATGCTCTCTGATCTAAAAGGCTGATCGACATGCATCTACAAGAACGATTAAAGAGCCTGCAATATAATGAATACATATGCTTTGTACAAAGAGAGAGTATACACAAAATTGACATGTTAATGCCTTAAATCCTAGAATATAGGATAACCAAGTTAAATTTTTTTTAATTCAATCAAATAAAATATGGTAAACATTAACAGTTCATACATAAGTAGTAGAGAAGGTTGTTAGGACGAGAGGAAATAATTATGTGAAGATTATAGGGTTGATAACAAGTAAACAACTATCCCATAAGTCCAATCTAATCTGTAATCTAAAAAATCAATTCAGATCCTTCCCTGCATCAGTAATATTTGAACTTCATCAACATTGTTCAATTGAGAAAAATAATTTACAGAACGCTAACAACTTGAAATACAACTACTTTGTTCATACCAAAAATCATAAGTCATTAGAATGAAATCTTAATGTTCATAGGGGGAGCATAGTTCTGCCAGTACCAAATAACTGAACCAAACCAAAATATAATCAAACAACAAAATAAGGTTAAGAAATGAATAAACTGACAGATTGAACAAGCACGCGCACAGGGTTGATGGTTACGAGGCACTGAGGCAGCGGCTCATTTTGTTAAATAAAGGGCGGTGAGGCCACTAATTTGATGTGGCTAGTAAGGTGGATCACATGTCTATCTCTTGATAGATCATTTAGCAAAATGAGCAACCACCACATACCCAGTATACCAATAGTTTCTTTCTATATCATGTGGAAGTATGTATTAACTAGAATGTTTACAATATACAAATTAATACAAGAAAACACCAAACCAAAGTCAAACAAGTTATTTGGTTCTTTCTAATGTTTTCTAAAAGACATTAGATGGTTCAATAAGTATACTCAAAATGGGGAACATTTAACACACGTAACGAATGCTCGCACCTCATGAGTTATTAAAATTCAGAACATTTTGAAACAATGAATGATTTATACAAAGAACCAAAAACCCTCAATCACTTTGATAAAAGCTAATTACTAACAAGACAACGATCTGCAATTCTTGAGTTGTCCAATAACTAATAGCTTAAATATTCCTGTATCTGTTTAATACCATAACAGAATTATCATTTCCACTCTTGCAGTATTCTGATCATTTTCCCAAGTTTGTTCTTTTAGTTTCCTATCGCCAGTTTTGTATAAGCTCTTCCAGTCCTATATATTCCATTTAAACTAGAAGGATCATCAAACAAATCATAATATATTAAGGTATAAAATAGGCTGTAATATATTACATTAAACTATAATGAATGTTACATCATTTATCACTAAACTAACATGTACTCTGGAAAATAGTAAACACCCAGAACTGATAAATTTCAAATACCTCCCTAACAATGTTCACAGCAAACTAAAATCATTGTTTCATTCATGTGAAATTTCACATAACTACCATAAATTATTATCAGTTTCTCAGTAAACTATAATGAACTTCTAAGATTGTCATAATCCAACCAGGCTAGAATTAAAAATTGACTTCATGGTGTAAAATAAAGGAATTAATTTAACTTAAGAGTAGTGATGGGTAAGGACATTACTTGGTCAAAGTCCTCGACATCTTTAGAATTTTTTAGAAATTTGCAGGCTAATTAGTGGAGGGAGTGGAGTGAACTGAGGGTACAAACTGAGGGTTAATTCAGGTTGAGAGGAGGTTATGGATCATAATTAAGGGATAGGTGGTAAGGCAGATCATCACCGAGGAAGGGAGATGCAAATAGTCAGCGTCAACAAATAGAAGGGGAGACAGTCTATTACGCGTGGATCTGACAACACAGGATCATAATTTAGATTAGACCAAGAGAGAGAGGGAGAGAAACAAATTAGAACTGGTGGGTTCTGAGATAAACTAGAGAGAGCTTGATCTTTTTTTCTGTTAGGTTGACAACCATTTGGAACAAAACCATCACAGGTACCGCCTACCAATTGGTGATATGTCAATTGAAGATGTTTCTTGAACACAACTGGAAAGTTTTTGGGGTCATTGTATTTTACAATAGATGCAGTAGTCAACATGAAAATGTGAATGTTTAAGATAATTTTGATATAAATTAGTTAAGCAATTAATCTCATATCACTGATGGGATAATAGTTTTAAGATCACAAACCTGATGTACTGATGCGACAATTGTGCAGCAGAAACTAAAGCATCATCCGTGTAACGAAGTTTGTGATGAATCTCATATCGCTCACGCAGCCCTCTCAGAATTTGTATTGTTTCATCCACTGTTGGCTCTGGCACTTTAACTGGCTGAAATCGTCTTTCCAGAGCTGGGTCTTTCTCAATATGCTTTCTGTATTCATCAAGGGTTGTGGCTCCAATACACTGAGCACAATGGAAAAGAAAAGGTTAGGAATTCTTCTTTTAGCACATTAATTCCTTTCGAGAGAAGCAGCATCTAAAATAAAATAAAGAATCACATACTCCAGCATTTCCATATTAGGAGTATAAGATGGATTGAGGTCTAGTGATAAAACATTTCAGAAAAAGACTATTTCCCAGAACTTTTTGGCTCACTCTTTTATCTGCATTCACAGTGAATGATGCTCTTTTATTTGGAAATCAGCGCAATCAGGTGAATGCACGAGAGTCAACACGGGTGACACGAAAGCATGTCAAATATCTGAGTGTACCATAAGTGTCAAAGCGTTATCTACCTGGACACGTGAATATGTACATACTTACAAATGTGACTTAAATACACATATACATGATATACTTAGAAGGAGCACAACATGAGTACTCGCTCACCAGCCTTCTGATAATCCAGTAGAAGTACTTGCTCACCTGCCTTCTGATATTTGTCAGCATTAACATAAGCATGACAAGGTTTTAGATGACTGGAAGTAATATAGTACTTATTGATGTCTATCATACTACCTTGTAGACACAATCTAGATATTCTCTCCAATCAATTACATTCCTTAAATATATTGCGATTTTCCACCTTTTAATAATGAAAGGGCTCGATTCACAGGGGTTTCGGAGGAATTTTATACCTGAGTGTACTGACACAAAAAAAATTTGAAAGTGGAATGACTTGAACAATTGTGAGAAAGAGAGAGAAAGAGCCATTTACTATATAAAGAAAATTATTTTGAAGGGAACATGAGCACAATTTTGCATTATGTGAAAGTACCTGCAATTCACCTCTGGCAAGAGCTGGTTTTAGTATGTTTGCAGCATCAATAGCGCCCTCCGCCGCTCCCGCTCCTATTAGTGTGTGTACTTCATCAATGAAGAGTATAATATCATTGCTTTGTTTAATTTCCTCCATCAGTTTCTTCAGCCTTTCCTCAAACTCTCCACGGTATTTTGTACCAGCCACAAGAAGTCCCATATCAAGTGTAATCACCTGAATTTTGAAAGCATAGTGTCCACAAAAAGATCTTAAAACACTTGGAAAGGATACTTGAAGAATTATAGATACATACATAGTGACATCATGGAAAGAAAACATGGAAGACAACAGGTTTTCAGAGATCTAGGAGGTTCAGCAATTCACTAGGTGTTTTCCAAGAGAATATGAACTAATTCTGTAAAGTGTGCAAAGTAAGGCACAAACTGAAAGCAATGAGCAGGAATATCTAAAGAACCTTTTTCCCTTCAATAGTTTCTGGGACATCTCCATTTGCAATACGTTGAGCTAGACCTTCAGCGATAGCTGTCTTCCCGACACCAGGTTCTCCGATAAGGCAGGGATTATTCTTTGTTCGCCTACCCAAAATTTGTGTTACACGCTCTATTTGCGGCTGCCTTCCAACAACAGGATCTAGTTTACCCTACAGAAGAAAAATTAACTTATTGATTATGATGAATTGTGGTACGTATCCCTAAGATGTAATTACTGACTCCACAATTGTAAGTTTTTAACGACGTAAAGATACCTCCTCTGCCAATTTTGTTAGATTGGTTCCATATTCCTCAAGTGTAGGCATCTTGCTATTACCAGCTCCTCCTCCAACTACAGAACCAACAGCTTCTGTATTTTCTCCTACCATACGAATAACCTACTTACATTGAAAAGTACTCAAATCGTTTAATAAGAAATACATATCAACCATTGTACTCAACGAGAAGAGCATACTGAAACTTGCCTGTGAACGAATGTTAGTTGGGTCAGCTCCCAGGCTCTCCAGAACTTGAGCAGCTACACCTTCACCCTCACGAAGTAATCCAAGAAGCAAATGTTCAGAGCCAATATAATTATGACCTGAAAGTTTACAATACAAGAAATTTAGTGTTTTCATTCTTACAACGTAGTTTCACACTGTACATTTAATGCTTAATATCATGCGATTTAAATGTAATTCCGGGCAGTTTTTTGACTCATTTGCCTTATCTCATATAGCTGAGCGCACAAAGCATATAAAATTCCTTTACACTTTCTAGGTTTAAAAGAATTTTCCAGGGTATTCTTCACTATTTGAGCTAAAAATCCTTGGATTACATAGCTAATAAGTGTGTTTCCCCTGCATCAACTAATACATATACTTGTAGCTAGTACCTCTCTCATCCATTGTTTCCTGGTTAACAATTAGAAAAATGCCAGACAAACAAGTTCTGATCCATGCCCAATCCCAGTTGCAAGAAAGAACCAAGATGGTACTGGTATCAATGATGATTTTGTATGTCATAGCTCATGAAGAAATTGTACGTAAAAAATGTTCATAAATTAACACTTAAAGCAGAATAAATAAATCCTTTACAGTTCCCTTATAAGGTCAAAAGTTGCTGCGTAAACAGTTTACCTAATTGACGTGCTTCCTCCAATGAGAGCTCCAAAACACGTTTTGCACGAGGTGTAAATGGTATCTCGACAGCAACAAATCCACTGCCCCTTCCTATAATCTTCTCCACTTCCTTTCGGGCATCTTTAAGACTAATGCCCATCGATTTCAAAACTTTTGCAGCTATACCAGAACCTTCCCCAATTAGACCAAGCAATATTTGTTCAGTACCAACAAAATTGTGTCCCAGACGCCTTGCTTCTTCTTGTGCAAGCATAATTACTTTAATGGCCTTCTCTGTGAAGCGTTCAAACATAGCCCTAGGAACTCCTCTACTAGCCCTCCCTCGTCGGGCTGAAACAGAAACCTTTACCATGGAATTAAAGTCTCTTACTGGTCTCGATAGAAAATCCAGAGAATTTGATCCACGCAATCCTGTGAACCCTTTCATTGTAACCGAGTGTGCTCGTACATGACAAATCATTGTAGTCCTGTTTGCTTTTGAGGGATCTCGTATATTTTTGTGGCATCCGGTTGCAAGAGCAGGACGGATAGCTGATTGAGCAAACGTAGCCATGACTTCCGCTAAAATGAGATATCTTTATAAATATATATTCACCAAACTCTGTGTACCCTGTAGGCATAGTTATAGAGACAGTTCAATGAAAATTATTAGAAGACATCATTCTAAAAGAGAGCAATAAAATGATACAATTTACAAAATTAATAATATATTCTCAGTGAAGATTTAGTAGATGTTCCAAACAATAGTTCAAATCCAATAGAAGTAAAAGAATGCTCTAGAACAAGTAAACTATGGAGGAGGTGCAAGCCAAACTATAACAAAGAATGATGAAAAAACAGATCATGAAATAGATATCCAGAAAAGAATCATGAACCAAAATGGTAGTAGAAAAAGCGGATTTCTTTGAAATTGTAGCATAATCAGGTATTAATAGCCACATAAAATCATTATCAAAATGGAACCTGGGAGAATGTCTCCATACCATTTATTATTCAAGAAAGTTTTTGAAAATCATCTTACATGTAAAAAGTTCACTACAGATGGCATTGCATTTTCCTTAATGCATTAGTGTAGCAAGGTAATAATATTTATAAAACCCTCGTGTAAGCCAAAAAAAAAATGAAATTTATTCCAAATTATGACACATAAAAGATGAATACTCGAACAGGGAATATGTAACCAAATATCCGGAGCTGACTATGAAGCAATTTCTCCCAGCAGGAAACTATCCAACATGGTCTTTATGGATACTGTTTGGAATCGTACAGCACAATTTCTCTTAAGAGTATCGACTTCATAATATTTTTTTTTAACTAGAATTGTTTCAACAATTTCAAGACGTCCTTTATACACCTGTTAGCTAGTTTCTCGACATCTGCATTTCCTTCTCATATTCATCTTAGATTATTCGAACAATGAAACCTTATCCTAAACTTTTGCAATCACCTACATGAATTCAGTTTTCCATGTTATAATACGATGAAAATGCACCTTCAATTCATTTTCTTCAAGTGCAATAAAACCCTAAATTCTCAAACCAAAAAGGCTCAAAACTATCTCTTAATTCTTAAAAACATAACAAATCAACGCCCAAGCGACAGTAATTACGATAAACAAATCCAAACTCTAATCTCTCTTTCTCTACTCCTAGCTGTAACAAGCATCAAATCATAAAAAAGAAAGATTTGAGGGGCCAATTCGAAAATAAAAACAAATGTACCATAAATTACCCTAAAAATGCAATAAAAATGATTTAAAGGGAGGAAATAGATTAAAAAAGGGACCTTGAAAAAGGATTTCAACGGTGTACCGTCACCGGCCGACTTCCCCCAAAATAGATAAGGGCTCTTTGCAATTGCAGGGGGAGTTTGGTGTCTTGTTGATGAAGAAAATGGGAATTAATAATGGTAGGGCTGACTCGTTAATGGGTCGGGTTTCTTCCTTACCCGGACCATTTAGCTCCGAAAAAAATTTTAAAGTAGACGCTTAGTTTGACTTTGAAATTCAGGCGCTGAAAACTTGTACTCATTTAAATTCTTTAAATTTCTTTATTTATCTGATTTTTTTTTCGAAAAAGAATTTTAAACACATAAATGATCTTCAAATAATATTCTTTGAACATTTTAATTAGGGCATGTTCATTTGATTAATGTTCTATAAATTGTGAATATGAAACTATTTAATTAAAAAAAATTGTTAAAAGATGTTATCATTTGGCTAAATATTTTTTTAATAGCAGGGAAATCCATAATTAAGTTGTTTTTTTTACTGGGATGTATAAATTTATAATTTATATATTATGTTAAATAATTGATTTTTAGACTCTTGAGTCTCCAAAATTAGTATATAAGCTACAGAGCATGTTTAGCTACTACTTATTTTTTGAATCTTGGTATACTTATTCTCAAAATTCCTTATAAGCATGTAAAAAAAGGGAAAAATGTGTCCAGGACCCAAAAAAAGAAACTTCATGTGCTGCAGCCCCTCTTAGTTTCCCCCATGTGGTTCAACCCCTTGAAGTGTGACATTTTGTGCTGCATCCCCTTTTTAACAATTATTACATGCCAACTAAGCTAAAATCCCCAAAATAATATTATCCCCTCTTCTCAATCCTTCAAACCCAGTTCTCTCTCTCTCTCTCTCTCTCTCTCTCTCTCTCTCAAGCTCGTCGCCCTCGCCCTCGCCCTCCTCGCCGTCGCCACCTCCGCCCAGCCCCCCAAGCCTCCCCCGAGTTCGCTGCCGCCTCCCCTCCTCTCCTCCGTCCGACCTCGTCGCGGTAGCTCGTCGTCGCTCCCCGTCTCGCCCTCGACTACGTCGGAGTTCGCCGCTGTGCCTGCCACTTTTGAACCCTATAGTATGATAGGCCGGAGGAGGATGACCAAGAGAAAAGAGTGCATGATGCCCAAGAAAAATGAAAAATGAAGGGGCTGCTGGCACAAAGCCACTCTTTTTTTTTGGAATTTGATGAGAAGCCACTGCTTGTTAAGGAGATTGTTAGTCAAGATGGCGAAGAGATGCCTGTTGGGTTTGAAATTTTAAGAGGTGATCTTGGTGTTGGAGCTGAGGAAGGAGATGGCGAAGCTTTTTTTGATAAATTTGAGGTTGACATTCTTATCTTTGCTTGGATTTTGTCATGGAGTATTCTCCCTGAAGAAATATTGAATGCCTTAACTTGCAGGAATTTGATGCTAAAATTTGATGTTGGTATTCTTATCTTCGCTTGGATTTCGTGTTCATGTTAGTTCTAACTCAGTTCATGTTAGCTCTAAATAGTTAGTTCTAATTTAGAACTAACAAGAACTGAGTTAGAACTAACAGGAACTGATAGGTACTTGTTTGGTTGGAGCCCACGGTACCCAAATGAGAGAGGCGCACAGAGAGTGGTTAAAATTAGAACTAATGGGGTTAAAATTAGAACTAACTTGTTATAACATAAAACTAACTTAGTATAAAATAGAACTAACTTGGTATAAAATAGAACTAACGTGGTATAAAATAGAACTAACTTAGTATAAAAATAGAACTAACTCTGTAGCGTGTTAGTTCTAATCTACACAGTGTTAGTTCTATTCTGTAGCGTGTTAGTTCTAATCTACACAGTGTTAGTTCTATTCTGTAGCGTGTTAGTTCTAATCTACACAGTGTTAGTTCTATTCTGTAGCGTGTTAGTTCTAATCTGCACAGTGTTAGTTCTATTCTGTAGCGTGTTAGTTCTAATCTGCACAGTGTTAGTTCTATTCTGTAGCGTGTTAGTTCTAATCTGCACAGTGTTAGTTCTATTCTGTAGCGTGTTAGTTCTAATCTGCACAGTGTTAGTTCTATTCTGTAGCGTGTTAGTTCTAATCTGCACAGTGTTAATTCTATTCTGTAGCGTATTAGTTCTATTTTATACCGCGTTAGTTCTAATTTATACCAAGTTAGTTCTAATTTATACTACGTTAGTTCTATTTTATACTGCGTTAGTTCTAATTTATATCACGTTAGTTCTATTTTATACCACGTTAGTTCTAATTTATACCAAGTTAGTTCTAATTTATACCACGTTAGTTCTATTTTATACCGCGTTAGTTCTAATTTATACCAAGTTAGTTCTATTTTATACCATGTTAGTTCTAATTTATACCAAGTTAGTTCTATTTTATACCATCTATTCTGTAGCGTGTTAGTTCTAATCTACATAGTGTTAGTTCTATTCTGTAGAGTGTTAGTTCTAATCTGCACAGTGTTAGTTCTATTCTATACCATGTTAGTTCTAATTTATACCACGTTAGTTCTAATTTATATCAAGTTAGTTCTAATTTATACAATGTTAGTTCTATTTTATACCAAGTTAGTTCTATTTTATACCACGTTAGTTCTAATTTTAACCATATTAGTTCTAATTTATAACAAGTTAGTTCTAATTTATAACAAATTAGTTCTAATTTTAACCACGTTAGTTCTAATTTATACCATATTAGTTCTAATTTATACCAAGTTAGTTCTAATTTATACAATATTAGTTCTATTTTATACCAAGTTAGTTCTAATTTATACAATGATAGTTACGAAATGGCACAAGAAAGCTTTCTGCAGATGTTGCAAACTCCCAAATGCGCATTATGCATTGATTAGTGAATTAATTATCGAAAGAATATGGTGATTTCAGTGATCATGTTGACGTTGTTAACAACACGACAAGGATTTGCAAGGAGCGAAGAGAGGAACAACTGTGATACAACAGGATTTGGGCGTCGGTTTTTGGTATAATGCTCCATCGGTTTGGATACCTATTATACGGGTTATGGAGCCAACTTATATGCAAATCAAATTATTTCGTAACTATCATTGTATAAATTAGAACTAACTTGGTATAAAATAGAACTAACATTGTATAAATTAGAACTAACTTGGTATAAATTAGAACTAACGCGGTATAAAATAGAACTAACACGCTACAGAATAAAACTAACACTGTGCAGATTAGAACTAACACGCTACAGAATAAAACTAACACTGTACAGATTAGAACTAACACGCTACAAAATAGAACTAACACTGTGCAGATTAGAACTAACACACTACAGAATAGAACTAACACTGTGTAGATTAGAACTAACATGCTACATAGTTAGTTCTATTTTTATACTAAGTTAGTTCTATTTTATACCACGTTAGTTCTATTTTATACCAAGTTAGTTTTATTTTATACTAAGTTAGTTTTATGTTATAACAAGTTAGTTCTAATTTTAACCCCATTAGTTCTAATTTTAACCACTCTCTGTGCGCCTTGTTAGTTCTAAATTAGAACTAACTATTTAGAGCTAACATGAACTGAGTTAGAACTAACACGAACACGAAATCCAAGCGAAGATAAGAATACCAACATCAAATTTTAGCATCAAATTCCTGCAAGTTAAGGCATTCAATATTTCTTCAGGGAGAATACTCCATGACAAAATCCAAGCAAAGATAAGAATATCAACATCAAATTTATCAAAAAAAGCTTCGCCATCTCCTTCCTCAGCTCCAACACCAAGATCACCTCTTAAAATTTCAAACCCAACAGGCATCTTTTCGCCATCTTGACTAACAATCTCCTTAACAAGCAGTGGCTTCTCATCAAATTCCAAAAAAAAAGAGTGGCTTTGTGCCAGCAGCCCCTTCATTTTTCATTTTTCTTGGGCATCATGCACTCTTTTCTCTTGGTCATCCTCCTCCGGACTATCATACTATAGGGTTCAAAAGTGGCAGGCACAGCGGCGAACTCCGGCGTAGTCGAGGGCGAGACGGGGAGCGACGGCGAGCTACCGCGACGAGGTCGGGCGGAGGAGAGGAGGGGAGGCGAACTCGGGGGAGGCTTGGGTGCCTGGGCGGAGGTGGCGACGGCGAGGAGGACGAGGGCCAGGGCGACGAGCTTGAGAAAGCCCTTGTTTTTAGAGAGAGAGAGAGAGAGAGAGAGAGAGAGAGAGAGAGAGAGAGAGAACTGGGTTTGAAGGATTGAGAATAGGGGATAAGGTTATTTTAGGGATTTTAGCTTAGCTGACATGTAATAATTGTTAAAAAGGGACTGCAGCACAAAATGTCACACTTCAAGGGGCTGAACCACATGGGGGGAACTAGGAGGGGCTGCAGCACATGAAGTTTCCGTTTTTGGGGCCTGGACACATTTTTCCCAAAAAATCTATTTGGTAAACCCCTTAGCTTATAAGGATATACAAGTAGTTATCTGTTAGGTAAATCAATAACTTTATAAGGTTCTGTTAAATATCAAATGACTAAAAATGATATATTATTGTAACTCCATATTGTGACTAATTAATTAAATTTATATTAACCAGACATTAGATAATATTAAATTTAGTAATTATTTAATTAGTAATTTAAATTTAATAATTTTTAATTATTATTGTTAATTAATAATAATGAGATTAATTAATTTCATTGTAATCAAATATTATTATTAAAGAATTAATTAATTAAAAATTACTTATGTCATACTAAGAAATATATATAATTACAATATTTTTATATATTTCATTATTTGTGATTATTAATTACAAATACAAAGAATTGTTAATTAAATTTATATTAGATGTTATTATTAATAAAACAAGTAATTTATTATAATGATAAATACATTTGATTAAAATATCTTTATGCAACATATTATTTGTGAATATTAATTACTAATATTATGGTTAATTAATTAATTTCGTATTATATTAAATATTATTATAAAAATGATTAGTTAATATATAAAAATTAGTTATCTCATTATAAGAATATACTTTATTAAAATATTTTTATATATTACATTAGTTGCGATTATTAATTACTAATATTTAAATTAATTAATTTCATATTAATAAAATAATAATTATTAATAAATTAATGAATAATAAATAAT